TTGAAGGACATTATCTCCAGTTAAAGTTTCATTGAGATTTGGGAGCTGTCTCAGGTATGGCATCCCCAGGGTAACTGGTCAGTCGAAGGTTCAGTTGGTATCTGCATTTGTGATGTTATGTCCCTGAGGCGGTATGGTATGGCTGTGGGCCTAGTAGGCAGATACTGGTTGATTTTCTGGTAAGATGACCTTTTTAAGGACCTTTAAACCCAGTTAACGGTTATGTTGTTTAGAACATTGTTTGGCTTTGGATTAATAAAATGGTTGCTGTGGCCACAAAATCTAACCCCTTGGTGTGATGTCACTTAATTTAGAGGTGGGAGTTGTGGAGGGTGGATTTGGGTGACCTAGGTGACCCTGGACATATACAATACACTAGTCAAGAGTTGCGCTGAAGACATAACCCACTTTCATTTAATTTCCTTGTTTATTCTGGCGGTTAGACTGCTGTTGCCTTTACCGCTATCAGATGAGATTGGATAAATTACAGTTCTTTGTTGGTGTTGACAGCAATCTCAAAGGCTGGGAAAAAAAGACACCTAGAATTCAGTTTGGTGCCGCTACACTTTGTAGAGTGCTTTTGTTGTCACTTCTGAGGCTTCCTAGTTGTCTCCGTAGATGTAATGCAATAGAATGCCTTTTCATACTAAAGGAACAGCAATGCCAATACTTCTAACAACAGTGCCACCCAGTGACCAGGATTGTATGAAAGTATGTTTGCCGCTATAAAGCAATGGTGTGACATTAATATAAATCTTGGTGAGGAGTTATTATTGTTTGATATTGTAGGATCTTTAAAAGAAACCAAATTCGTTAAAATATGAATAATCTTGTATGAGCTTTAAAGGAACCCAAAGAAGCCTAAAAGAAAGATGCCTTTTAGCATGCCTTCAATTGTGTAATAACAATCTGTAGCGTTGGGTAAAGCCACTTATGGGAATGAGGAGCGTAGCATTATTATGGTCTAACGCTGCAGCCTGTTTAATAGGTTTATCTAAAGCCATTTTTACAGTTAGAACCTCTGTCAGGTGTGCAAATGTTTTTTGGGGTTTCTGCACAATGTTGTTGTTGCAGCTTAGCCCTTAGTAAATTACTGCTCTGTGTTGCCCATTCGTTCTCCTATTGGCATTAAAGGTGAACGTGCAGGATGGGTTTGTGTCGAGGTTTTTACAGCTGTCTATGTCCCTGCTGGAAAGATTCACGCTCTCGGTTTTTCCCGTTGCCCGTTATCGCCAGGACTGAAAGTGATGGCAGATCCAACTTTTTGAAGCCGTCCCTTTATCAGAAGAAAAGGGTTCATCTTCAAATGGGGACACTTGTTCAATGATCATTCACATGAGTCCCAACCTCTGTTTGAGATTACAATCTAATGTCCATTGCACGCTACAACGTCATAAATTAGTCTACCAGTATGTTTTGAGGAATTCCCAGCATTCATGCTAAATGCACACCAACATGGTAGAACTTCCATGGGTTCCTGGTTGGGAATTGACCCCAGAATTACAAGGTGTACCTTATGTCAGCTAATTGAATATCCTCTTTCCATCCCTAAAATAATTAAGGATTATAGCTGGGATAGAATTGGTGGCTGTGGACAACACTTCTCCCTTCCCAGTGCTGGAGGTTGGAATCTGTCCCTTTCTGCCTGTATGCTTGGATGTACATGGATGACGGTGCCTTGGGTTTAAGTCAATAGTACGCATTGTTCTTGTGAAACTCCAATATTTATCATCTTGCATGTTATCGATCTGAAAATTGAGCTGCCTTATGCCAATATTGTCCTTAGGCGTTGACTTTGTCAGCGCAGCACCGTAAATAAAAACTAATGATAAGCTCAACGGGTAGTGTCAGTTGTGTGCTGCAATCTGAGAGTAGACATACCACGGGTGAGATTACGCTGAAAAGTCAATATTTCAACTATTTGCATTAAGCCGGCTGCTCTCCACCGATCTGGAATTTGCATAAGTTTGTTTTGAATTAAAGGTACTATTACTATGATGTGTATAGCCGTCCCAGCCAATCAGAATGTATCTCCTTAATGGATTATATTAAAAACTATTTTTTTTTATGAGCTGCATGTGACAAAGCAGCTAAACGCAGTCATAACTGAAATGTTACAATTATGTACCGTTGCTCTCGGGTCATGTAGAAAAGGAAAAAGACAATGGAGACTGCACCTTCTCCTCGTGCATTAATGTTCATTAACAATGAAGCAGAGAATAGTAAAACTACTCGCACAGAGAATATACAAGCGGTGTATGATCAAACAGGGAGAGCCAAGGTACTCCAGAATGCTAATCACAATACAAATCGTGATAATAGACAATCACAGGTAGCTAAAATATCTGCCGCGTTTTCGGGGGCAATCTCCTCTTCTTCAGAGCTAGAGGATCAGACCACCAGAGCCAGTATATATACAGAATGGGATATGGCCACTTACCTTTGAAGAGCTATCCAGCTACAAAAGAAGCACGCTCCTCACAATCATTATTAGCAACATCCAATCAGGAATGGGGGAAGATTAGATGCTGTATTGAGTGTACTGCCATATCGTTGACTACATGGGATGAAGGGAAAACCTGCAGTGATCCTCCCTGATTGACAGCATGAGCGGCTGTCAGTCTCGGGGGGGGCACAAGACAGGGCTGATAATTGATAATGCACAGTTTACTGGATGCAATTTTGATGCATTTTTGACACGTGCCGGTGCGTTGAAAATGGGCTTTCAGATGCAGTACAGTGCATTTACATGCATTTTTCCCTACACCGGAACAGACTACACTGGTGTGAACAGAGCCCAGAAATACCATAGGAGCACATTGGGATGCATTTCAGGTGCAGACAAAAACTGTTCTGGTCCAGACATGGTGTGAATAAACCCAAGGGCCCTGTCACACCATCAAGAGTGCGTTCCAGTGCGTTCGGCCTCTGGAACGCAACACCGCTGGGGGGGGGTCGTGACTGCGGTGCCATTGAGTTCACTGCATGGTCACGCCCCCCTCCCACCCCAAAACAAAGTGAGCCGGCCGCTTTGCGTTCCAGTGGCCGAACGCACTGGAGCGCACTCTTGATGGTGTGACTGTGTCCTGAATCCCTATTGAATGACATTAACCTTAGCCATAATACGCGTACTTTGGTTTGACTGGCCAGCATATTAACATATTCTAACATAATATGAAGATTAAGAAAAGGACATTGTGACACTACAGAATGGCAGAAAGGAATTTTCATACTTAGAACAAAAATAATAAAGCCATAGTCTAATACTTCCACTAGTATAATAATAATAAATGCAAGTCAAAATGAAGGGTGAAAAATAATAATAATAATCAATAAATGATACAGGATAATAGGTGCAGAGGGATTTCTAGGAGCATTCCTCTGAAAAAAGTAGGATATAATAAAAATGGGCTTATGACCTGAGCCCAATATATGAACTGAAGGATAGGAAAATGCAATAAAAAATTGGGTGCAACCTGAATGAATAAATATTAAGTACTAAATAATAGGAATTGAATGTTAAATATATGCATATATATAAACCAACAGACGAATAAATACATCATGATTTTACCAGACGAAAATTCAAGACATTATGGGGAACATAATAGGACCACAGATGGTACAGAGCAGCTAATCGCAATCGTAGCTGAAATTTTACATTTGTAACATTGCTCTCTGTTCACTTCTATGGGCAGCCAATGGAGGCCCTGATGGAATAGCTGAAAGACCTGGGAAAGAAAGGCGGTGTGTGTGCTGGAAAATATCACTCCCTGCTATGCTACCTCTTTTTAAACATCTTCTGTTTATCCGTTCTAGTTCTCTGTAGTATAAACTTCAATGTTACTCTTATGGCAAAAATGCCTGCGTCTTTTCACTGGGATGACAAGAAGAAACTGAAGTTTTTGTGTGATCTGGGTTAAAGAGAACCTATCATTTTAACTATTCATTGCAATGACAGAGCCCACCACGTGACCCAGTTATACTTTCCCTTGCCTTACTCCATCACAGATAACATGCACTCTTCCCAGTATGTGGGAGCATGCAACGTCCTCCCAGGAAGCAATACTAGGGCCCGAGTGGCAATTGTGGCAAAAGTGCTAGGCCAAAAACCTACGTGTAGGACACCAACAACACTATGTAAGCTCTGAGTAAGTTTGTTGTAAATGGTTCCAGCCATTTTGGATGACTGTTAAATAATGCATCAGGGGGCATGTGGGCGAGGTGGACATTTAGCACTATGTATGTAGATTCATATGACAATATCCACTTGCTGAAACTGAAGAAGTAACATTGCATTGTGATCTTTGTGTCTTGGTTATTGCGCTTACTATGGCGATATCTTTGCATATGACATGTATGTCTATAATTGTTAGATTTCTCCTTAAATTTGTTATCGTGTAAAGTTGATATAGAGACCGTTCTCCTTTTTTTTTTGACCTTGTGCCACGCTGCTGAAGTTGTTTCAAGAGCTGTCTGTGTTGCTTACATCAACCAACCCACTCCTGCCTTTCATGTCCATGGAGCAAGTTAGAAAATAAAAGGGGATTTGGGCTGTTGTCTGCAGCACAGACATTTTTCTCTGACATTTGTTTTTGTGTTTAAAGGAGAACTATGGGGTCAGAGCTTTTCCCCATAGTTCTCCTTAGGGTAACGGTAGGATACAAACTAGCATCCTCCCGTCACCCTAAGCTCAGTATACCGCGAGCTGCGGCTCGCGGTATACTGAGCC